TCCCTAGATCATAAAAGAGTTTGCAATGGCAATGCTCTGGAAATTCATGAGAGTAGCTAAGTATTCTAAAACAGCTTTATCACCAAAAGTAAAGGTAAGAGGAATTTCCACCCATTCAAGGCATTCGTCATCCAAGTCTGTACCTTCAGATTTTGCTGCCAATACACCCTGCTCAAATACTGTGGAACTGCTTGGTAAAGCTTATCCTCAGGATGACTACAGTAATGTCACAGAGAAGATTCTTTCCAAGGTGGGGAAGAACTTGCACAACAAAAAACATCACCCTTTGTGGCTAATCAAGGAGCAGGTGAAGGACCACTTTTACAAACAATATGTAGGACGCCGTGGGACTCCGCTCTTTTCTGTCTATGATGGTCTTTCTCCAGTGGTTACAATACAGCAGAATTTTGATAGTTTGCTTGTCCCACAAAACCATGTCAGCAGAAGGAAAGAGGATAACTATTACTTGAATCGTGATCACATGCTAAGAGCACATACATCAGCTCATCAGTGGGACTTGATACACTCCGGGCTAGATGCATTTCTGGCAGTGGGAGATGTCTACCGCCGTGATACAATCGATAACACCCACTACCCAGTCTTCCATCAGATGGAAGGAGTTCGGCTCTTCTCCTGTCATGAGGTAGGAATTCTGTAGGTGGGGTGAAAGAGATTTTGGGTAAGTTGCATAATCTTGTGTTTGCTGTAAGCAAAGTGCCTACACGTAAATGTGTTACAGCAACACGTGTTATACTGTACATTGATAAAGATCGAGTGATTGATCATGTAGTTATACTTTTAATTTGGGAAAAATATAGGTGGAAAATGTTGTACTTGAAAACAACTGTAAACGTCCCCAGAGCAATGTGGACAAAATGGGAAGACAATATTCTTGAAAGCTAGCAAAATAAGAATTATCTGAAGTGAAGCATCTTGTTCAGCTAATGATCTGCATAATTCAATTCTAATTCTGTCACAAGCCTCTTCTGATGAGGTCACTTTACCAGAAACTTTGACATATTAATACTTGAAGGACTCATGGATGTAAGTTGGTGCAGCTGCATCCAGAGTGCATTTTTTTATTATATCATCTTTTTTTCTTTTAATAGCTCCAACCTTCTGTAAATGAATGTCTTCTTTAGTGAATTGCTCCATTCTTCTTCTCATCCCAAAGCTGCATTGAAGAATTCATCTGTTGCAGCTGATAGTTATGGGTGTGTTATGCATACACAGTAAACTCATCAGAGTCCAGAGGCGTCAGCTAAAGAGCTCTAGGTAGATGTCCAAAACTCTTGAGTTTATATATTTTGTTGGCACAGCTTGCATGTTCTGCAAATGCTTGGGTGTCATTAAGTATTCTGCTGCATCATTGATGAATGGTAAATATAAGCCAGTTTGTTTTCCAAATTGTAATTGATTTGTATAATTTGTGTATGCTTGTAGCAATACTGCCAAATTCACATTTCTATAACTAAAACTAGCTTATTCTAATAATACTGAGATGTAGACCATTCTTAATGTGGTTGCCAAGGGGTGACAGGAGCTTGGCAGGGAAGCCTGATGGGTTTGGATGCCTGAGGGAAAACTAGGATAATCATAGAGCACTGCTTTTCTCACTGGTGGAAAGGGTTCACGCTGCCTGCACTGGTGTTTCCCACTCCATGCTGTCAGTACTGCTTCTTTGAAAACATACCTGTCTCTCCAGATGTCCTGTGAGCTATGTGGTGTTGAATACAGCTTGCAACCACTTCTTTGGTAACCAGGAAATGGAAATCTGGCAGATTTATCCAATCTTGTTTGTTTGCTGTTCTTTTCCCATAGGCCTGTTTATGATGAAATCTGGGTATATGCAAGAGAAAAATGTACAATGCTGCATTAGGAAAATGCCGTTTCTTTATGGTTTATGTTCATGACAAATTTTTTACTTGAGCAGGAGTTCAGGCATTCAGATTTTCTCTGTCACAAAATTATTACATCGACACTCTTGTAGGATGGAATTTCTGCAAACTTAGGGGTGATTGATCTAATTATTGAAATTATTGTTAATGAATATGCCCCTTAAGAAATTCTGATCCTAATGACAGACTATTTTTCTCTTCTCTATGAATTTAATAATAGTAATAATAGGATTTTAATAACTGGGAAGAATGTTATAGAAATGTTCACTGATATCTAGAAATACGCAATGTGTAACAATCTGATTCATTGCATTGTAGATTGCTTGTTTCTTTTTCTCTTCTTTCTTTTTCCCCAAGAAAATGACTGAAAAGTTATTGGAGAATGTTAAAAGCTGATGAAATTGAAGTTGGCTATGTGCAGGAAAATGTGTCTGTCTCTCTAAAGGGTGAAAGTCCTGTTGACTTTCTATACAGATGAAGAAAGAATAGTGGTATGGTTTACAATGTGTAAAGTCTTGTTTATTGGGCAACAAGCATAAATTCTGAACCTGACCATGATCTAAAGCATCCTTTTTTGCTTCAGTTGCAGATTAAATACTTATAGTCTTGTAATATGTAAAACTTCTTACAATCATCACCACAAGAGCCTTGTGGAAAAAAATTGAATGTGTAATTCTGAAATTTCGCTGGGGACTGTTTCTGTGTTTTATATTCTGGTTGCCTGTTCAAAATAATCCAAATTTAAATAATTCCAGAAGGAACTGTCTGAGTGGAAAAAAGACTAAATAGAGGTAATACTACATGAGAGATATATTTTTATATGCATTTATTTATACCCGGGTGAAAGTTGTAACCCACTGAGCCGAAATGTGTGAATGGCAGGGCCTGTTACCTTCATCTCAGACTTTTCATTCATAACCAGACGGCAATGTCTGGCCAGAGGAAATTTGCACAGTACTGAGGATAACAATCTTTGGAACCAAGGAAAAAACTGTTAGCTCTTAGCTACAAGCCCTGGGTACATTTCGTCTTTTGGCCAATACAATAATACTATATGCTATAGTCAGTTTTCTGCTCTACTTTCTTCTTTTGATTTATAAATTTATCATTTTGCATCTGTTCAGTGAAAGTGACCACAGAACTGGTGGGGTTAGAACAAAACCCAAAACCTAGAGTAATTTGATAGGGACTTGAATCTCAGTTTTGGGGGGGGGGGAACAGTCAGTTCATCCTCAGCTGAAATTTTAGGCAGGGTAAGAAAGATGTAGAAGATGTAGAAAAATGTCTCTCCTTTATAAATACCAAATTCTGTAGTCAAGGCTAGGTTAAAACTTCTGCCCTATGACTGAAAATCTTCGTATAATTTGTCTTCATATCAAAGTTAAAATCAATAAATTGGAAGTACAAGCTGGGAAAGCAAATCATAGTTTGGCAGTTTTATGGTGTTTTACTCTGAGATGCTTGTGAACTGTTGGCTTCTTTGGCTATGCAATTTTTCATGATGGTTGGTTCATTATTTTTGTAAGAGAAAAGTAATCTATGATTCAAAGATGGGCAGATAACTGATGATTTTCTGCAGCTTTGGATGAGTGCAGATATTAAAGTACTAAAGAAATTCCCATCTTCCAAACTAACTAAAGTTAAAATCATTCATACTGGAATTTCCCAGAAACTTTTTTAAAATGTCATTTGACATGTTTTCAGTGTATTTTAAAATATTTTAGGTATTTATTACCTGAATGTAATATGTAGAAGAGTTAGAAACTAACTAATAGAAATAGTTAAACCCAGTGCCAAAATAGCTTCCCAAATCTGCTTCAAAGTTCTGGACATAAAATGAACTGTTCTTAAATGCTACCTCCAAAAGGTATTACTTTTGTATTCTCTTCCTCCAGCGTGCATGTTTTCCTTCTAAGTGTTGTCTAGATATTTCTTTTTCCTTCTATGGTGTATGGCTTTTTTCTTTTTTTTAATCCTTCAGATTTGCAATATTGATACTGCTGTAGTCAGGTTTGAACTGGCAAACTTTCCTGAGTGGATTATAAAATAGATTATTTCTGTGCTATGCCGTGGACGTTGGTGCAGTTCTTTACTTACCACAATTTATGGAAAAGAGGAAAAAAAACCCCTCAGCTAAATTACACTTTGTGCATTTTAGCCAGCAGAGGGAGCCAATATATACCCAATGGCAATCGCAGAACAATTTTCAGTTGACAACAAATAATGTTTACACATTGGAAGGAGACTTCATAAGGTATTTTATGGTCTGTACTGAATATACATAAATTTTAAGGGGAACAGATGTTAAAACATAGGAATTTCTCTTCTAATTTAGTAACCTTTTTCCAATGGAGGCCAATACCAGATTGTTCAGACAGAGATATGCTCTCATCAGGCTTGTTTGTGCGAACATCTGAAAACGATAAATAGGCAGACTGCAAAGAAGTAGTAGAGATACTTCTTTATTCTCCATTGAAATGTTTTGGGTGGAAATGGTGACTTTTTTGTTAGGATATAATGGAAAACTGTAAATTTTTCAGTTAAAAATAAGGATTGCTCCTCCAAAGCAGTATATATAATTGCAAAAAAAATTTTGATATTGTAACTTCATGTTTATATCCTGAAATGGAAAAACTCTTGTCCTAGGTGATTGAAGTGTAGATTTTCTTTTATTCTTATAAATACGTACTCCTTTCCTCATTTTTTCATACTGTGTACCCTAGTCATATTTCTTATGTATCGTTAAAAAAAAAAAGTTGCTTAAAAAAGTTGATTTTATCGTTTTCCTTATGCTTTGGTGTAGGTGTGAACAGCTGATCAGCCTACATCTTTGCTTACACGTTTTTTACCTTTTTTTTTTAATCAGTGCGTGCCATCCTAGGTTTTTACTTGCAAGACTAGTGTCATTAGGTTTGACTTCTCCAAAATCCTATATGTTACTGCAGCTTTGGACGCTCTGCTTCTGTTCTAACATTGTATCAAAGGAAAGCTCCTGTCTTCAGTCACTTTTTTTTCTCCTCACATGTAAAGTAGTTTAAAAATACAGTGTTCCCGGTATCAGCCTATTATATAGAGTGGAACATTATATATATTATATATTTGGAGCATTTACATTATGTGCAAGAATATTTGTGTGCGTAACTGCGAGTCACAATAGCAATGTTCAGCTGGGCACCGAGGAACAAGTATTTAAAAAGGCGTACGTGGCCTAGGGTAAGGTACTCTTCTCAGCCCTCTGCAACCTGAGGATAGGGAGAGGTTCATCCAGGGGTGATAGAAGACCCTGAAATCAGCCCCTGGAAATCACCTTTTCTGTGTGCTTGTTCCGATTTGGATGATGCTCTTTAGTGCCTCAGCCAGCGAGGATTAAGGCTTGTGTGAGAAAGAGTCAGCGACTCTGTAGCCAGATGAAATGGTGTGGAGAGTCCCTCTGACTGAGGGCATTTATCTCCTGTCGTGCAATAGCGTGTGAGTCAGAGGGAAATTGGGATTTCCTGGGTGCTTTGGTAATAGTATTGAAGTGGAGATCCATGCAGCTTTCTTCTGTAGGTGGCAAATGATTAAATAGATTTTTTTTTTTTGGTGCGTGTGGGGGGTGTGTGTGTGTTGTTGTCTTACTTATGGACATCTACCATATATTTCCCTCCACGAATGGATCCATGCTTGTGCCATCTCTTGATGATACCACTGCATGCCAGCAGTTGCTGTACCCGCATCTTAAGCACATCCGGGCATGGGAAGTGGT